TCTGTAAACATAGGATGTGTGAGCCAAATGCTGGTGTCTGTAAACATAGGATGTATGAGCCAGATGCTGGTGTCTGTAAACATAGGATGTATGAGCCAGATGCTGGTGTCTGTAAACATAGGATGTATGAGCCTAATTCTGGTGTCTGTAAACATAGGATGTATGAGCCAGATGCTGGTGTCTGTAAACATGGGATGTATGAGCCAAATGCTGGTGTCTGTAAACATGGGATGTATGAGCCAAATGCTGGTGTCTGTTGTTGTTGTTGTTGTTGTTGTTATCGATCCAGCGGCGCATGAGCTTTCGCCCTTTGGCCCAATGCCATGTAGTAGAATTTGCATGTTTTCACAAGCTGTTCTTTTCCTCCGTACAAGGTGTTCCACTTGTCTGGTCTCGGAGGGAGTAGCGTTCTTCTTGTCTCACTGAGTTTTGGGCACTCAAAGAGATGGTGTTCAACAGTTTCGTAGGGGTAGTTACATAGCTGGCACTCTGGGGAGTGTTGTGGCTGTATTCTGTTTAGGTGTCCATTGAGTGGAGTATGTTGCGTTCTAAGTCTGAAGATGGTGGCCTGGTCCCTTCTTGTTAGATGGTTAATGCTGTCATTAGGATCAGGGCCAGACATATGTCTATAAACTCTCTTCCAGTGTCTCCCATGGCCCATCTGTTCAACCAAGTCTCTTTGTTTATAGCTCTTATCAGTGTTTTTGCTGTCTGGAGGGTTTGTCGCTGTAGGTGGTTGTTCTTGTGTTGCTCCTTTCTTTGCCAATCATGTCAGCTCTGTCATTACCTGGTGTGCCGGAGTGACCTGGAATCCACTGCATCACTATTCTGATGTTGTATGAGGTAATAAGCTGATCAGCATCCAGGATTATCTTGGCTATGTCAGTTCTGCAGCGTTCATTGCCCTCCAGAGCTTGAAGGGCAGCAGACATTGAATCTGTGAAGATGACAATATTTTTGGACCTTTGAGGGGTAAACATCCATTACAGTCTTTAGGTGGTATACTGCTGTTTCCAGTGCAATATATTTTCAGCTTCATAGTTTGAACAGAATTCCCCGCATGCATCAAAAATCTCTTCAACAGATCCATCGGGATATCCTATGTAGATTCCGTAACCTGCTTTAATGGTAGCTTTAAATGCTGATCCATCAGTATAGACATGTATCCATTCTTGGGGGTAAGAATCAACGGTCTTTAGTGATGAGTTCATAAGAGCGATTGGGTCGGACTGTTTGGTTTCCTCGCCTACCAATTTAGTTTGGACTTCTGGAGCTTTAAAGCGAGCATGTGGTGGTAGGTCTTTTGCAACATTCTGAATTCCTTGACGTCTTTCTGGGAGGTGGTATCTGTCCTGAATTTCATTAACACAGTGTAAAACCGATTTGTGCTTTATTCTTTGTTTGGATTCCCAGTTTTCTACAAGATGTCTATTAGGATGGTACGATTTTTCCTAACGCTTCTTTCATAAATTTCTAAAGTGACCTTTTTTCTCTCCGCCAACCCGAGGGGTTTCCACATTTGTATGGATTTCACATGCAGCAGTTGGTGTAGACTGCATAGCTCCGCAGATTAATCGGAGGGCATTATTTTTGTACTCTGTCAAGAGTCTCTAGGTTAGTTTTGGAGCAAGTTGTAAGCAGTGAGTTGTGTACTCTATCACAGAGCGAACATATCCTAGGTATAAGCCCCTCAGAGTTTCCTTGTCTGATCCCCATGATGTACCTGCAAGTCTCTTTAATAACTGTAACCGCCTCAATGCCTTATTCCTGATGTTTTCAATATGGTTCTTGAGGCTGAGCTGCGGGTCAAGTGTGACTCCAAGGTATGTGGGATGCTCTTCTTTCATCACTTGGTGTTTGTCTAACCTCAGGTTAATATTCTTCCTTGCTACTTGGTGGCTTTTGGAAAGATTGTGTAGACCGTCTTTGCACAGTTAATCTTGAGTTTCCATCTTTGGCAGTAATCATGCAGTCTTCTAAGGTCTCTCCATTCAGTCTTTTGGGCTCCACTTTCCACATTTCATGACTCTGCCATATTGCTAGGTCATCAGCGTACAAGGCTTTTTCGGCCTTGATTTGTTCTGGCAGGTCATTGATAAAGAGTTAGGAATAGTTGTACAGCTCAATGATGAGCCTTGTGGCAAGCCCTCCTCCAAAGACTTCTTTAGAAGAGATTGCGTTTTGTGCTCTTAGTATGGATTGTTCTACACATCTATCAGGGAAGTATTTCAACCCAGTTATACAATCTGCCATGTATTCCTATGCTCATCATCTTTCATCAGGAGACCTTTTCTCCATACTCTGTCATAGGCCTGCTGGAGGTCGACAAAGACTGACCACTGTGTGTTTCAATTATTCTGGAAGCCATCTTGTATTCTTTGTGTCATTCTGAACAGCTGGTCTTCTGTGCAGTCTGTTGGTTCTGAAGCCTGCCTGTTCATGGCATAGAACACCAGAACTCTCAGTGTAAGGAACAAATATAAGCGCCTGTTTATCATTC